TATATATATATATATATATTACAAACAGCAAAGGTCCCAACACTGATCCCTGAGGAGCGCCATTAGTCACAGCCCTCCATTCAGAAACACACCCTTCCACTGCTACCCTCTGTCTTCTGTGACTGAGCCAGTTTTTTATCCATCTTGCAAGCTCACCTCTGACCCAGTGCGACTTTACCTTCTGTATCAGCCTGCCATGAGGGTCTTTGTCAAAGGTCTTACTGAAGTCCATATGGACAGCATCCACTACCATACCCTCATCGATCGTCTTCGTCACTTGCTCAAAAAACCCAATCAAGTTAGACACCTTCACAAAAACCTCCCCTTCACAAAACCACATTGCCTCTCGCGAATACGCCCACTTATTTCCAACTGGGAGTAAATCCTGTCTCGAAGAATCCTCTCCAGTAATTTCCCTACCACTGACATAAGGCTCACCGGCCTGTAGTTAGCTGGATTATCCATGCTACCCTCCTTTAAAGGAACAACATTGGCTATTCTGCAATCCTCTGGGACCTCCCCTGTAGCCAGTGAGGATAGAAATATTTCCCTCAAGGCCTCAGTATTTTGGGGTATATCCCATCAGGCCTGGGGATTTGTTTACCTTCATGTTTTTCAAGACCCCCAATACCTCTTTTTCCTTTTGATCTCAACATGACCCAAACTACACACCCTCATCATCCACCAAGTCCTTCTCTATGGTGAATACTGACGCAAAGTACTCATTTGATACCTTGCCCATTTCCTCTGGCTCACACAAATCTCCTTCCCTGTCCTCTGCCTGGCTACCCTCTTGCTCTTTATATATGTATGAAAAGCCTTGGGATTTTCCTTTAATCCTGTTGGCCAATGACTTTTCATGATCCCTTTTAGCCCTCCTGACTTCTTGCTTAAGTTTCTTTTGACTTTCCTTGTATTCCACCCTTGCTTAGTGTGTTCCCAGCCTCCTAGCCCTGACAAATGCTTCCTTTTCCTTTTTGATTAGTTTCACAATATCTCTCATTATCCAAAGTTCCCTAAACTTGCCATACTTATCAAATAAAAACCAAAAGAACTGCGGATGCTGTAAATCAGGAACAAAAACAAAGTTGCTGGAAAAGCTCAGCAGGTCTGGCAGCATCTGTGGAGGAGAAAAC